AGATCCATTATAGGATAAGACCCCTATAAATCCCTTAAAGGAGCCCCTACAGCCTGCTTCAACGGACCCCGGTAGAACCGGTCTAAGGGTTTAGGGTTTAGGGCTTACCTGGACCCTGAAGAACCTACCTTTTCAGGGCTCCTTATTATGATTTCTTTATATAAATCCTTAAAGAAGGTAGGTTCTTTGGGGTTAAGGTAGGGTTGAGGGTTTAGGGGTTTAGGGTTTAGGGTTTCTCGGGGTCATCACTGCGCTTTGTAGCTTTGGGGTCGAAAGGCTAAAGTTCGGAGTTTTCGAGGTGTTCGCGATATTGTGGTTTGGTATTTACTAATAATGTGTTGGATGTCTAGGCGTGCGTAATACGTTGGTGCAATGCGGATTCCCGGTGTACTGACATATATAGTCCAGTGTGGCGGAAACGAAAACTGCAGTTTCTTGGGCCCCCAAACCCCTCTAAACTTGATCGTAACCCCTATAGTACCCTGGCAGTACTATAAGGGCCCCAATTACCAATACGATTCTGGGGTTCCTTATTATAGTTACAGTATCATATGCCGAGAAACCCTTGTCTAATAACTCAAGCCCCTATACTATACCCACCCTTATATAGTAGCCCTTTGAAGAAGCCCTTTTAAAGCAAGCGCACTCTAATTATTCTGGCCCTTAAATTAGTCGATATAGTACCCTGGTCCGACACCCCTAAACCTTAAACCCCTAAAGCCCTAACCCTAAACCACTATATGTCGTACACGTAGAAGGGCTCAGTCGATTTTTTCAACCCACGGCCGGCCGAGGATTCGCTACTTTGCCGAGGCAGGAGCATCGCTTCACACGCGGTGCTTCTCCATGCAGGAATGTGACGCAGCCAAAGGAAGGAGGTTTAAATTTTAGGGTTTAAAGTTTAGGGTTGAGGGTTTAAGGCTTAGCGTTTAGGTTTAAGGTTCAGGGTTTGGGGTTTATGGGCGAAGAAGACAATCGGAAAGTACAGTGTAGTATCTTGCACACCTTGAGCGCCAGCCGAATTTTAACTTGAGGGCTTTGCGCTTTCCTGTCGCGCTGAGAAGTGTATCGCTTTAGAAGCTTGCGATGCGGAGGTGAAGCATGCTCAACTGGGCATGGGCTTGGGGACCCATGAAACGTGACACGTACTTTGCACTCTGTGGCCTGGAATTCTGAGGGGCTAGCGGCTACTGTAGGGGCCTTAGTACGCAGAATAGGGTCTTGGGCTTCTTTCTGTAGAGGAACCCCAAGCAATATTATTGGTAATTATAAGGCCTCTATATTTGCCCCCAACACGACCCTCTCTGATACCCTATGCTGTGGCCAATGAGCTGCCCTTCCGACCCGAACCAGCCTCGCCTGAATTGCCCGAGTTCCGAGAGTCTAAATCTCCAGTCTTTACGACTATGAGACTTCGATTCGGTTTTGGTAAGGAGGCGCTGTGCAGGCTGAAGACCTAAGGTTTGAACTAGCTAATCCCAACAAGCCTCACACTTGTCACCCTTGATCCTCCTACATCCCCCCTATACGCCCTCCGAACCGCCACTCCCCTTAACAGATACCCCAAACCTGAGGCGATGTTGAGTCCGGCGCCACCCCTCTTCACCTCGCCGCCCGGCGTGGCCTCCGCTCTGGCGATGCGTTGAAGGTCTGACACGGATCGCGTTTTATGCGAGGTTTTGCTTCCTCGCCAGAGCGTGATGAAAGTATTCTGGGTGCGAGCTACTGCACCCGAACCCTCAAACCCTCCAGGGTGAAGGATTAAGGGTTTAGGAAAGCAGTTCCGGGCGAGAGAAGCCTGCTGCCAAAAGGGTTTCCGGCAAGACTGTCGAACCCAAACTCTAACACTTACAACAAGGACCCCTCCGTAAAAAGGGCTCATAGCTCGGTTCCGAGGATCCCCTAAAAGTAGCCCTTAATCCTATACCTTACCATTATAAAAATACACACACACACACACACACCCAAAATAATCCCTAAGCCCCAAACCCTAGACCCTAAACCCAAAAATTGGGTAAGGCCCTAACTACCTAAACCCCAAACCTGAGCCTGAAGCCTACACCACGAAATCCTAAACCCCAAAGCCTGAAGCCCACGCCATAGTATCCTAGGTGGGTGGTTGTCAAAATTATGGTCCCTTTTTGGGTCCTTATTATACGTAATACGACACCTATTATTTAGGGTACCCCAAAAAGGGACCCTAATTTTGACAACCACCCAGGTAGTATTAGGGAGACCCCTTGAAGGGGACCCTTCTAAACCCTAGGGTTTAGGGTTTAGGGTTAAGGGTTTAGGGTTTAGGGTTTAGGGTTTAGGGTTTACTTCTGGCTCTCTTATAAAGGAAAATATTGAGAGGGTCCATATCCCCAAGGGTCCTCCTAATCCTAACTCCCATACTAAACCCTAAACCCTGAACCCCAAAAACTCCCACAATTAGCCCTAAGCCCCAAACCCTAAATCCTAAACCCTATAAAGCCCAAGCCACAAAAAAAAGAAACAAACAAACAAAAAAGACTCCAGAGGAGTTCCTAACCCCAAACCCCAAACCCTGAACCCCCGAAACTCCCATAATTAAAATCAATCTTGACTCCAGAGGAGCTCCTGCAGCTCCGATCTGATCCCAACGCCGCCTTCAGCCAGACTCGGACACCGCTGTACCTCGCCTCGGCTCGGGTTTAGGGTTTAGGGTTGAGGGTTTAGGGCCTAAAGGACATAAGCACAAGCATTGTGTAGGGATATCCCTACTTTGTTGGGCTT